GAACAGGCTGCCCAGGGAGGTGGTGGAGTCTCCTTCTCTGGAGATATTCAAGACCCGCCTGGACAAGGTCCTGTGCAGCGTGCTGTAGGTGACCCGGCTTTGGCAGGGGGATTGGACTAGATGACCCACAGAGGTCCCTTCCAACCCCAAACATTCTGTGATTCTGTGTACATAGTGCTCAGCGTCACCATCTTACTCTTTTTTTAAAATTCTCATATAGCTAGAAAGCGTTAGCACTGCTGTAGAGATCAAGAGTAGAACTTCAAAGAGGTGATTACAACACACCTCCTGACGGAGTGGTGCATTTGACTCGGCATCTTAGGCTCCTACTTTTGTAGGAAACTTTCTGTTTGAAAGTTCTAGACATAGAGAGAAGGAATTGGACTGACCTGGTGAGTGATGAGTCTGGATTCGTCATCAGGAAAATGAAGCAGTTGAAGCATTCCTCCTTATCGCTACATGATTATGAAGCATTAATTTTGTACTTTTTTTGAGTGTCTAATGAAAGAATCCCATTTTGGTTTTCAGGGCTTTTTTTCCTCCTGATTAGCAATACGTTGGGGGGTGCTTTTCTTCCTTTTTTCAGTGCTTCGTTCATGTCAGGCTATGACTCATGTCATTGCCTTTGCTTTATTTGGTGGCCTCTGAAGCAGGTCTTACATCTTAAGCTGAGTTTAGAAAGTCATCTTCTGGAGCATAGAGTCGTCTTCTTCTCAGTACTACAGAGACTTCACTCTGCCTCTCACCTTCTCAGCCTCTTACATGCTGTCTTATGTGCATACAAATACCTTTGTGAGCACTGCAGGCTTCTTCTCTCACGTGTCCTCCTGTTAAAATCTGATTGAAAAATTCATACAGCCTCGTGCATTTAGATGAATGCAGAGTGTGCAGTGCCCCCTTTTCACCACTTGAAGTCTCTTCTACAGTGTGCTGTGGATAAGTAGTATGACAGTTGAAATGGGAAGTCTGGAAAGCAAGCTTTTTCTACTTTAATGCAAAAGATCAGCATCTTAGCAAAGGATTGTAGTAATACTAAAATACTAGTTAATTTATTACTTAATTCCTGTTAAAACCCAAGTATGAATTGCACAAGCCTTACCCTAATTTGCATTTTTGTACCAGTGTTTCTCTCTGTCCTCACCAGTGCTTGATCATTTTTTACCACGTTTGTAGGAGAAGTCAGTGACGTACTGTGAAATAAAACCTTTGTTTCTTTCTGCTGAAATTCCAGAATGCCGGGCCTAAGCTGTAGGTTCTATCAGCATAAGTTTCCAGAGGTGGAAGATGTAGTGATGGTCAACGTTCGGTCCATTGCTGAAATGGGAGCCTATGTCAGCCTGCTGGAGTACAACAACATTGAAGGCATGATCCTTCTCAGTGAGCTATCCAGAAGACGTATTCGTTCCATAAACAAACTCATCCGCATCGGGAGGAATGAATGCGTTGTGGTCATAAGAGTTGACAAAGAGAAAGGTATTTGTGGATATTGTGGGCTATATCAAGATTGATTTCATAGAGAGAAATGCAGATAAACAGTGTGGCTTACGTATTCACTGGTTTTGCCTGAGGTTTTTTTTTAAGGCAGTTAAGCGAAAAAGACCATCATCATGCCATCTGATATTTACGATCATTCTTCCATTTCTCTGTGTTGTTTGGAAAGCGGGTTAATGAAGGTCAATCACATCAGTAAAAATTTGCTGAAGTGGGTCCTCACCGACTCAGTGCTTGGTCAACAAACCGTAGTGAAGTGGGATTTTCTTTTGATGTCTGTGTAGATTTTTGAAGTCCTAACCGAAGAGAAGGATCATCTGATGTAGATATGATCTGACAGTCACAACATTTGATGCTCGCAGTCCATCCTGTGCATTAACAAGTCTTGAACTTTGGCTATAAAATAGATGACTGTATCTAATTATTGTACCACGTGAATTCTGTAGAAGGTCGCAAGTTGAGATTGTACAGGCAGCTTTGTCTTATGAATATTTGAATCTTCTAATGTTTTTTAAAATATATTTTCTGTTTAGAACATGTTGGATTTTGATAGTATAGTTCCGTGCAATCTTTAAAATCTATATGCAGGTATAAAGAAATAATGAAAATAAACACTGAACACATCTCCTAGAAACCTGACTGTTGGTATGATGTTTCTCAAGTAATATGCTTTTCTAGAATGCTTCTGAAACTGCAGTTAACTCTGAGATTAAGTAAAGAATGACAGGATAAGAAAAAGCAGAGAGGAAAGGCAGACAAGAAGAACCTTATTTCAGATAGATCTGAAGTAAAATAAGTTTTCCAGCATCTCTACTGAAAGGATGCTTCCTCTGAGAAATGAATTTCATTCTCATATTGAGATACACATCTGGAATTCACACAGTGGTCTTTTATTGAATCTTTTGGGCAACCTGTTGTTCATGAGAAGTAGATGGAGACCTTTTCAGGTTTACTAAGAAATGGTTCAAAAGAGTTTTTTCCGCAGACAGTTCTCCTAAAAGGGTGTCCAGGGAGTTAGAGTCTGAATTTGAGAGAAGGCGTACTTTATTAGGAAAGTGTTTAGAGCAAAACTGATGGACTGCCAAGCTTGAATGAAATTGAGTTAAGCGCTACAAAAATATGCATCAAACTTTCTTCTTTGTATGCTGGTATGATTTTTGCCAAAACTGTGTACAGCAACAGAAAAACAGATCACTGATTGCTGAAATACGAAAATTTGTTCCAAGTTTGAAGAGAAAACATTCTTAAGGCAGTAATTTTAAAGAATGTTGTACAAAAGATTTGCTATTGTAGGTATAGTTGGAAGAATAATTCAGTACCCTAGTTTGGATCATGATTTGATCAAATTCATTAAGGTCTGGTTTTGTTACTTTCTGTATCAACAGATAAAGACGGTGTAGGCAAGGGGCAAATCCTGAGCCAGAGTGTGTGTTGTTTAGGCTTTTCTTTTGTAGCAGTTAAGACGTAGTTTGCACAATGCCTGACACTTTCAAAATGGTTTTCCCTAATAGGTTATATTGACTTGTCAAAAAGAAGAGTTTCTCCAGAGGAGGCAATCAAATGTGAAGACAAATTCACAAAATCAAAGACTGTAAGTTGCTTTGCTAGATTTGGGCACTGTGTGTTGCCATCTTCTTTCCCAAGCAACCAAAATGTGCAGACATAAGCTAAGATGAAAATAAAGTATTGTTCTCATGTATTAAGCATACTCTGATTCCCATTTGCCCATGCAAGTGTATGCAGTCAGCTTATCTGTCTATGCATGCTCTGGTAAGCTGCTTCTTAATTAATGAGTAGATCAAGTAATATGTCAGTTGAAAATCTGTGATGTGAAGGGGGAGGTTTAAATTATTAGAAATCCAAAAGCATATGCTGGTTTAGCACTCTGTGGACAAACTTTGTTGAAAAGGCGTGCACGTAGTTTAAGCTGTCAACTCCCGTCCTTACTACTGTGTGGTCTTACACTTCTGAGCAGAATTCTTACCATTAAATATTACTTTGATTCTAACTTTTTTTACTTTGTATGCAAATACTGTTTAACCACTTGATAATGCTTTTTGCATCGGTTTCCATGAGAGAATAATTTTATCTTCATAGCTACAAAGTAAAGGTTTAGGTTAATGTAGTGATTTAAATATTGTAGAAGTTTCCAGATCTCAGTATGTAATATGTAATTTATTGCTAAATACAGGGAAGGATTGTATTGCAACATCACACAATGTTTAGAATCAAGACACTTTATCATTGATATTTTTTATTGTTTATTTGCATCAACAAGTTTTGTTTGTGGACTTTGATCTATGGGACTCGGTTTTATGCTTTACAAACTCATAGTAAGAGTCAGGCATTACATGAGTGTGGCACTGGAGAAGTGGGGTGGGGTGTTGTTTTCTTTTGGGTTTTTGTTTTGTTTTTTTTAATACCCCTTTTGTGTTCAAGGTTTACAGCATCCTTCGTCATGTTGCTGAAGTCTTGGAGTACACTAAGGATGAGCAGCTTGAGAGTCTGTTCCAGAGAACTGCCTGGGTATTTGATGACAAGTACAAAAGACCAGGATATGGTGCTTATGATGCATTCAAGCACGCAGTCTCGTAAGGACATCTTTTCTACTTCTTGGGGTTTATTTTATAATTGCAGAGAAGTATTTACTGGAATAGATCCATCATAATGTTCTTTTGGGGGTTTTGGTTTTTTTCCCCAGAGTCAGTACACAGAATGTACTCACTGGTCAAGTCAACTTAGTAAATTTTGACGTCAGTCTTCCAGTTGCTTGTTGTAGGTTTCTCTGTGTTATTGCTTTCTTCAGGTTCCCAGTGCTTTTGAGAAAGAAGGCTCAGACTTGACTTGTGTTTGTCCAGCGTGGAATGTGCCACTCTGTATGTCAGTTTTATAAAAGTAATAGTTGAATTTGATGTGAGAAATATTAAGGCACTTAGTGAATAATATAGTGTAGGAGAAACACGTAATTACAGACACTGGAGAGATTTCTGTTGCTACAGATGAGCCTGTGGCATTTCTAACAGAAGATGCACTGATCTTGGTTTGTCTGTCAGAATTTACCTGTCCTTAGACCCAAGCAGATGTTACCAAACATATTTAGGTCTGTGTCTGAAGGTATTTCTACTTACAGCTGACTGTCACTCTTCCACTGCACAGGCAGAATTTTTCTTTTTTAAATGCAACAAGCTAGCTTGTTACTACTCTACACTTCCAAACTTAAAGAATGGGAATGCGATCATGAATTTAGAAGTGGAATTATGAAGAGAAAGAGCTGGAAATTGTGGTGCTAAGGAAGTATGCACTGAGATGCATTGCTCTTAATTTTTTTTTATGAAGTTTGGTATTTTAATTTGCTTTCAGAGTTAGCCTATTTGGCTCCCCTCTAAAGATTCTATTGTGAAATTGGCAATCCAAAAATAGATTGCTCAATAACCATTTCTGATTTTACTTCTATAGCGCATAAACTTCTGAGTGATGAACTTGAGTTGAACACTAGATGGCAGTAACAAAATTTTAGAAATGTGTTGACTTAAAGAAACAGGGCACTTGGTAGCGTTTTGATTAACTTAGAATCATCTCGGTGTTTTTGGGGAAGAGACAACTTATATCCTCACTTGGACTGAATATGCTCTGTTTTCACAGAATATTAATCTTCTAATGATAGCGAATTTACTGGTAAAGGGCAAATCTGGGCACATTGCTGCAGAAGGAATTCCAGATCATTCTGTAACTGATAAATGCTTAGTTAAACACCTGTATACTAGAAGAACAAAAAACCCTAGTTACGTTGGCTGTTTAAGCTTCTCTTAGAAAAATTCTTGAGCATGCATGCGGTTTGTTACTCATCTGCTGTTCAGGTTGGAGCACAAACTTCTGAAGCTATCTGTTCTCAAAACACATTTTCATCAGTAGTGCCGTAAGATTTCCGACAATGGACGGCAACTTTTATTTGTTCTTGTTGTGGTCCTACCTAAAGCTATAGCGGTTGGGCTACAGTGGGTATAGCTGCCTTGCTATGCTTGTTGAAGTGCTTTCTGGAGGCTTAGCATGCCCTCTAAGAATTTGACTTGCTATTTTCTCCTTAGTACTGAGGATTAGTGTTTTGCGGCTTCACACAGTAGGATACTAGTGGCAAAATTTTAAAGTATGTTTGCCCTTCAGTCAGTAAAAATTAAACAACCAGGACCTATTTGTTGAGTACCTACAAAACGCTCATGAAAGTAACTTGAAGATTTAACAGAATAGATTGTAAATGAAGAAACAAAATTTGCATGCCTTTTTTTTGCATGTCCAGTAAATCGCTTCTGCCATATGGGTTCATATTTTTGATATGTACAAACTGTCATATTTCTGGGTTCTCTTTGCTCATGTTTGGCCTTTCAACTATCTGTATTCAGTGTATAAGACCATGAAAGATGACGTTTTATTAGCAGCAGAGGCCAATCTCCAATATTGCCCCTTTTTTGTGCCATTTTAGTTCATGTTTCCCTGTATTGTAGGTGATGCTTTACAGAGAACTGTAACTTGTGTCCCTGAAGAACAAGAACAGTTTTCTATAGGGAGCTTTTTGGTTGTGGTCTCCGTATCAGATATATTCAAATATATTTTGAGTAAAATTAATACAGCAATAGAGAGAATTGAAACTGCTTCTTCAAACAAAAGCTGATAATTTATATGGATAAACAGCAGAGAAGCTTGCCTCTCTGATCTCTGGATTTTAAGCTGTTAGCTTGTGATCTAAAAAACCTGTATTCTCTCTTTAGGCAAGAGTGTAGACAGCAGATAAGTGTCTGTGATCCAGTCACTGTTGAAAAGAAGTACAGAACACCATGTAATGAGTATAGGTTACTTTGTAGAATGACAAAGATCCTGCATTTGAATGAAACACTAAAATAATTCAAAAACCTCAGATTCATCATGGATTCTCTTTCATGCGAGACAGGTTTATCTTCACCTCGGAGGGAACATAATTACCAAGCAGCTGGATACTGTGTCACGTACAAATGGACAGAAGTCATTCCGTTTTTTAAGGAAAAAAAAAAAAAAAAAGAATTCAGGTCTTTCCTTCCAGGAACAGATTGAGTAAACTACTTCTCTGCTTTGTTGTTAAATGCTTCCAATAGAAAATATTTTGGAAATAGATGTGTTTATTTTTTCCAGTGTTTCAGTGAACTCTTAAGAAATTTCCCTGGTTTCATTGTCTAGTAGATGTCTATAATTATGCATAATAATGTTGAAACAGTACCAGAAGTTAATGTTGTGTCATATTCCACTTCAGTATAACTTCTGTAACGTTACTTTGCTTGGCTCAGGGACCCTGCAATCCTGGATAGCCTGGATCTGACAGAGGAAGAGAGACGTGTATTGATTGACAATATTAACAGACGTCTGACACCACAAGCAGTCAAAATCCGAGCTGGTGAGTTCTTTCCTGATGTTCATTGAACATGTCCTGACACATAAGTCGAGTTACCATATCTTGTTGCAAATTATAAACTCAGCTAAAACTAGTGTTGGTGGGCTGATTTTTGAGTGGAACTGTTCTTCCACAATTAAGACACCTTAATCAAGGATTGCTTGCGGAATGTCTGTCTGGGTTCTATCTCGAAGTCCACGGTAGTTTGGCTTTATTTTTTTCCACGAAGCTGCTGATTCCTTGGGACACAAAGTACTGGTCCTGATATGTAATGCAGTCTATCATATTGCACTGACACACAATGAATTTAAATATTTTATAGTTATTACTGCATCCACAATATTCTTTTTCATTATTCAGAGTGTTAAATCCTTTGGTTCCCTAACAGGTTGATTGATCTCTGTCAGCACAGCTAGGGCGTATGTCTTAGATGCTTGTCGATGAACCTGTGAAAATAGTTCCAACTTTGCTCTG